GAGGAGGAGGATCCAGGAGCGAGGAGGAGGAGGAGGAGGAGGAGGATTCTTGAGGAGCAGGAGCCAGGAGCAGAAGCAGGATGATCAAGGGGAGGAGCAGGATCATGAGGAGGAGGAGGAGGAGGCGGAGGAAGAGGAGGTGGAGGAGGAGGAGCCATGAGGAGCAGGAGGATGAGGCGGAGGAGGAGGAGGAGGAGGAGGAGGAGGAGGAGGAGGAGCAGGATGAGGACCAGGAGCAGGAGCAGGAGCAGGAGCAGGAGCAGGCGGAGCCAGGAGCGAGGAGGAGGAACGAGGTGGAGGAGGAGGAGCAGGAGGAGGAGGAGGAAGGGAGGACGATGAATCAGAAGCGAGGGAGATGACTTGCAGGAGGAGGAGGAGGAGGAGGGGGGAGAAGGAGCAGGAGGCGGAGGAGGAGGAGGAGCAGGAACAACATGAGCAGGAGGAGGAGAAACCAGGAGCGAGGTGGAGGCGGAGGAGGAGCCAGGAGCGACGCGCCAGGAGTCAGGAGCCAGGAGCCATGATGATGGTGATGCTGAAGATGATGATGATGATGATGATGATGATGATGATGATGATGATGATGATGATGATGATCATGATGATGATGATGATGATGCTGATGATGATGATGATGATGATGCTGATGATGATGATTATGATGCTGATGATGATGATGGTGATGGTGATGGTGATGGTGATGGTGATGGTGATGGTGATGATGATGATGATGATGATGATGATGATGATGCGGACGTTGATGATGATGATGCTGAAGATGTTGATGATGCTGACGATGCTGATGCTGATGCTGAAAATGATGATGATGAGGAGGAGAGGGATAAGGAGGAGGATGCTGCTGATGATGATTGTGTATACTGATGCTGGTGACGATGATGGTGATGAGTATGATGATTATGCTGGTGACGACGATGATGGTGATGAATAATGATTATGATGGTGATGTTGATTAGGATGGTGGTGATGATGACGATGCTGATGATGATGCTGGTGATGCTGATGATGCTGATGATGCTGTTGCTGCTGCTGATGATGATGATGATGCTGATGATAATGAGGTTGCTGCTACTGACGATGAGGACGCTGTTGTTGTCGATTATGGTGATTGTGATGCTGGTGCTGATGCTGTCGGGGATGCTTGTGATGATGATGTTGATGGCGATGTTATTGATGATGCTGGTGATGATGAAGCTGGCAATGCTGACGATGGCGATGATGTTGATGATGATGATGATGACGATGGCGACCGTGATGCTGATGATGGTGGTGATGATAATTATTGTGATGCTGATGCTGGCGATGATGCTGTTCATGATGTTGATGATGATGCTGCTGTTGACGACCATGCCGCTGTTGATTGCGATGAAGATGATGACGACGCTGAATGTGATGTTGATGTTGTTGATGATGCTGATGATGATGATGATGATGATGCTGCTGCTGCTGATGATGGTGATGGTGATGATGATAATGGTGACGATGACGATGCTGATGCTGATGATGATAATGCTGGTGGTGATGCTGGTGTTCATGCGTATGACGTATCATGATGCTGATGCTGTTGCTGCTGATGATGTCGGAGGTGATGTTGTTGATGATGTTGTTGTTGTTGCTGATGCTGATGATGACGATGTTGCTGTTGATGGTGATGGTGATGATGATGATGATGATGATGATGATGATGATGTTGATGATGATGATGATGAGGAGGAGGAGGAGGAGGAGGAGGAGAAGCAGGAGCGAGGCGGAGGGCGAGCAGGAGGAGCAAGGAGCGAGGGGGAGCGCGGAGCGACCCAAAGGCGCCACCTTCTCCCTCCGAGCTGGCTTCGACGCGATGAGGCGGCACGGGGTCGTGGGCGGGGAGCTGCGGCTGGTCGGCGGCGGCAGCAGGAACCCGCTCTGGAGGCGGATCTGCGCGGACGCCTTCCAGATGCCCGTGGCGTGCCCCATCCCTGGGTCGGACGACGGGGTCTCAAGCGTTAGCGAGGCGTCCTGGCTCGCCTAGAGGCCTACCAGAAAACGTTCTGATCACCTTTTTTGTGTGGTTTGCGCGAGACTTTGAAGCATTTCTTGCTGAGACCTTCTTGTTTGAGACGTCTTGATCTAAGACATTTCGAGGTAGGCCTATAGGAATGCTGGGGCAGTCGGCCCCTGCTCAACAGGATCGACGTTCGGGGGGTTCGGCTTAGGGGGGGGGGGGGGGGGCTGTTTGCTTCCAGGCAACGGGGGGGGAAGGCTCAGGGGGGACCGACTTTCTCGAAGAAATCTGGACGAGAGGTTTTCGGGAGTTTTCGCCAGTCCTCGGCGGTTTTCGGGCCTCGGGATGTTCTCAGGCAGCTGCGCCTCGCCGAGAGGCGTCTGGGGGAGCCTGGATGGTCCAGAAGGGCCGCTGAGGACCCGAGCTGTTACCCCAAAGCCAGACGACGAGGATCCCTGGACGGGAGGAGGAGGAGGAGGAGGAGGAGGAGGAGGAGGAGGAGGAGGAGGAGGCGGAGGAGGAGGAGGAGGAGAAGGAGGAGGAGGGGGAGGAGGGGGAGGATGGGGAGGAGGAGGAGGAGGAGGAGGAGGAGGAGGAGGAGGAGGAGGAGATAGGCTCAGAGGGGGATGCGTCGACCCCCCGTCGCCTGTGGATCGCCGAGCGGGGCCCGACAGCCCACCCCGCTCCCCAGGAAGCGTGCGGCTCCGCGCTATCGGGCGCACGTCGCCGATCCATCGGCGAAGTAGCGCCGCGGTTCCGGGTCGAGTGCTGCCTCCCCTGAGCTTTTGGCATCGCTCGGGCGTGTGCATTGTCCCTCCGGCGAGGAGGGAGGAGGAGGGAGGAGGAGGGAGGAGGAGGGAGGAGGAGGGAGGAGGAGGAGGAGGAGGAGGGAGGAGGAGGAGGAGGAGGAGGAGGAGGAGGAGGAGGAGGAGGAGGAGCACGAGCATCCTGGCTGGCAAAAAAGCCACGCACGAAGCTGAAAACAAAACAGGGAATAGACGTCCGAGCGATGGCCAGTGAGCGGGTCTCCTCCTTCGTGGCCCTTCAAAGGGGGGGGGGAGAGCGGGCGGACGCCTTCTGAATGCGCTGGTTTCGTCCTCGCCGCAAGGCGCTTGCCTCGATGCATTGGCGCCCCTGTCGCTGGGAGGCGCCGAGAGAGCTGTGATGGCTCGCTGACCTCGGAACGACCAGTTGAGACCCTAGCGTTAAGTCGGGCCCTGTCCCTCTACAGGAGGGACATTCAAACATGTAAAAAGAAACACAAACAAATCTGGGGACGATTTTCTGACTATGCTTGAGTATGTTTGGGATCTTTTCTGAGCATTTCCCATCGTTCGCCCAAAATCCACCTGTGGGGGGGGGACATGCCCGATCTGACACCAGCGGCTCTCCCGCCCGGCCCAGAGGAATTCAGCATGGCCCCCCTGGACCGCTCCCGGGGCCCATGCTGGCCCGTTTTTTCTTGGGGGGGGGGAGGCGGATCCAGCTGTGGCGTCGAGAAGCTCCCAGGGGATCCCCCCCCCAAACAACAAAACGGCACACGCCAGGGGGGGCCTCCGTGGTCTCGACTGGCCCTCCTCCGAGAATCTGGGCTTGAGTCGGCCATATCCTTGTATACAGGAGGAATACCCCCAAAAAGGTACAAACATAGCCTGGGGACGGTTTTTTGCATATCGTTTGACTATTTGGGTGCATTTTTGTTGTATGTTTAAGTTTTCGCCCAAAATCCGCCTGTAGGGAAACATGCCCGACCTAAATCTAGGCTCCCCAGATGGGCACCGAGCAGATGGGTTCGGAGGATCGCGCCGCATCGCCGATGCTTCGCCGATGTGGTTCGATGTGTAACCCGATTTTTTTCACGCCCATGTCGCCGATAGATCGCCGATGCATCGCCGATGCATCGGTGATGCGTCGTGGGTGCGGCGCGATCTCCGCCGACCCTATCTGGGAGACCTCTAGATAACCCAGGCCGTTGCTTGCTTCCCCCTCCTCGTCGTCCGACCTGACCATCGAGCCAGAGAGCGCAGCACTTGGGGGCGCGCTGCAGGCGGCCGCGGTTGTCTCTGGCGCCAGCGACGTCGGCGCCTGGGTGGTGGAGCACCACGACGCCAGGCAGGGCTGCTAACGATTCGATTCGTTCTGCTACGATCCCCAGACTTCGATCTCGATCCGATCCGATCCGATCCGGCGCGGACAGAGTCCTTCGCCAGCCTGCAGGGGGCACGCCCGATTAGCGATCCCGAGTGATCCGATTCTGATCCGGCTCCACGGCGACCCTGGCGCGATCCGACCCGTGGCCGATCCGATCCGGCGTCGCGATTCGGTCCAGCTCGGGCCCGCCAGGGTTCGGGGGCGTCCAAGAGGGGGGTGAGGACAAGGCGGTGTGGACATATCATTGCCTGGGCAATGACGTGCCCCAGATGTCATCAGCCCTATGAACAGCATTATGCTACTTAGTCGGCGTGGAACCCAAAGGGTGCATTACATACTTTGTGGTGCACTCTGCGTCGTGCATCCCACCCATCCACCCGCAAATGGGTTGCAAAACCAATGTGGCTGCGCTTTCGATAGCTGCTTGGCGCTGGCTGGCGCATCACCGCGGCCGCGCTTGCACGCGCAGGCTCGCGCGCAGCGCGGCCAGCTAGTTTGGCGCGACCGACGCGGCCGCGGTGGCGCTGGCCGCTGGGTATTTCCCAGCGCTTTTCGCAGGCCGCGCTGTCGACCGGGCACGTGCGAGTCTGTGCCTCGATCGGGCGCGGTAACATGGCGACGTCGACAACGGTGGGCACGATGGCGATAGCGATGCTGGTGGCGGCCATGACAATGTCGACGGCGAGGCCAATGACGGCGCCGATGCTGATCGCGCCGATGACGAGGATGGTGTCCCCGTGTCGGCGATGAAGGCTTTGAAAAAAGAGAACTTCAACATCAAAGATTTCGACATGCGCGCGTTGCCGACGTGCGCGAGTGGTCTGCGCGGCGGTGTTAACAGGGATCGGGCTTCCCCAGCACGCGCGCAGGAGGCTTCGAATGATTTCGACATGCGCGCGCGCGGGAGAGGTCCGCTTGGTAATATGCGGCGAACGTGTCGGATACCTTTGGTTTTGCAAGAATGCGCAGGACCGCGCGCGCAGACTTTGAAACCCCATGTTGCAGCACCACGAGTTGTTCCTATAGCGTCGGGAACTTCGCTTTTGAAATCCGTAAGGAACCCATGGGTGTTGAAGATGTTGGCACGCGCGCACGACGCCACGCGCGTGTGCACGTTGTCATGTATGTGGCAAGGGACTCGCGAGAATGGGCCACTATTGAAATCAACGAGCGCGCATCATTCCATTTGTCAGGGGTGACGGGGGGAGGCTGCAGCTGGTTTGGCTGGGGTCGTGTGAGCTCATTTGTATATGCAGGGTGGTGGGCAAGGTGTTTCGATAAGTCTAGCGGCAGTGATACGTAATTTTGATAAGTCGTGAGTTGTCCCCCCCACTGCTCGCACGATCATCGCGCCCTCCCACCGGCAACTTGGTTTGCCAAGCCCATGCGGCAGCAGCTGCGATGCCTGTCCGTCGCTGGCGGGCGCCTCGCTGCGGCCGCGCCAGCGCGCGCAAGCTCGCACGCAGAGCGGCCAGCTAGTTTGGCGCGACCGACGCGACCGCGGTGGCGCTGACCGATGGGGACTTCCCAGTGCGTCTCACAGGCCGCGCTGGCGCGCGGACACTTCAGTGCGGGTCGGTGATTCGGGCGGGCGCGGCGTCATGGCGGCGTCGACAGCGACGGAATTGACGACCATAGCAGCCATGATGCTGGCGACAGTGCCAATCACGACGGCACGTCCAAAGACTGCGCCGATGCTGCTCACGCCGATAACGATGATGATGTCCACGCGTCGTTGATGACAGTTTTGGCGGGATTTCGACATGCGCGCGCGGCCGACGTGCGCGAAAGGCCCGCGGGGTATCATTCGACAAAAGGTCGCGCCCCCCCAGCAGGCGCGCAAGGGCGTTCGACTGATTGCGACATGCGCGCGCGAAAGGCCCGCGTGGTTCCATTGGGCGAACATGTTGAAGAACCGGTGGTTCCCATGATAATGCACAAGGGCGCGCGCAAGCTTTCGTTGAGAACGAATGCTGGAACGTCATTCGGTTTTTGTATGGATCTTGGGACCTCCGCATTGATGCATAACGATACCGAAGGTTTTGGAAGGATTACGGCATGCGCGCGACGACGCGCGTACGTCGATTGTGCTGCATATTTTGCCCAGGGTGGTCCCTGGCGAGTGATGGGTGTTGATGAACAGGTGCGTGTGTGTGTGTTTGCATAGTTTCGTTCGACAGGGATGAGGGGGGCGATAATAGGACTCCCCGGGAGAGTTTGACATGGTTTGCAAAATGACCGATGGGGTAATATCAAATGTGGCTTGTAACACATCAGGGGAGTGCGATACATCGGGGGAGGGGGGAGAGTCCATATTCTGTTTAGAAAAAGGAGAGTCTGCGTGGTGCAACACAACACCAAACAACGCAAAACAACGCATGCGATGGTAATGCGAAGCAGTGCGAAACAATGTAAATCAATGCGATTGCAATGACAGCCAACGCAATGCAATGCAAACCGCGGCATGGCAACGCAAAACAATGCACGCCCAGACGTAGGGCGGCGACGAAGCGGCGACAATGACGGCGACGGGGCGGCCACGGTGACCACGGAACCGCCAGACCGCCACGCAGGCCCAGACGACGAGCGGCGACGAAGCGACGACGGGGCGGCGACGGCGACCACGAAGGCGCTGGACCACCACGCAGGCCCAGACGACGGACGCGACGAGCCGGCGACGGGGCGGCGACGGCGACCACGGAGCCGCCAGACCGCCACGCAGGCCCAGCTTTTATGGCAAGCCAGTAAGAACTCCTAAGTGTCAGCACTGTTCCGGGAGTTCTCCATTCCGAAGTAATTGTTCCTAGCGGTACCGCTCCCATTTTTTCGATGATCCCCTCAAACAGTGCTTACAGCTAGGGGTTCCTCCTTTGCTTCCGCTGGGAACGGGATGGGTACGTGTCAGGGTTCCGGCTGGCGCCCGCCCGCGGGCGCCTTCTGGGCGCCCCGCGCTTGGGGGGGGGAAGCCGGGGCTTCGGCCCGCGCCCGCCGTCGGGCGCCTCGTGCGCGTCTCGTGGGCCGCACCGCGCTCGCGGGGCGTGTCGGGGGTTCGGCCGGTGCCGCTTCGTGGGCGCCGGTGGGCGCCTTGCGGGCGCCCCGCGCTCGGCGGGTGTTTCGGAGGTTCGGCCGGTGCCCGCCCGTGGCCGCTCCGTGGGCACCCCGATGGCCTGCGCCCCGCAGATTTGCAGCACGTGTGGTCCAGGGCACCGAGTGCACCACACAGTTTGCACCACATAGTTTGCAGCACGCAGCTTGCACCACCAAGCTTGCACCACGCAGCTTGCACCACGTAGCTGTCACTACGCAGCTGGCACGACATAGCCTGGACCACGTGGATCTCACAACATGCCTGATGCACATAGTTTGCACCACCTAGCTTGCACCACGAGGCGTGCACAAGACAGCTTGCACCACCTGGCCTGCAAGACAAAGCGTGCGCCACGCAGATAGCACCACATAGCTCGCACTACGTAGCTTGCACCACATGGTTTGCACCACATAGTTTACACCACACGGTTGCACCACATAGCTGACACATCCACAGTGCAAAAAAGCTAATTGTTTGGGGTCCATTCTGATTACATTTCGTGTTACCATTGTTTCTTATTGTGTTGATGATTATTCATCAGATTCCCATTGCAAGTATTAGCATTCGTACCCTAAGTCTGGTTTCGGTATGTCTCCTGGCCCCTTCCTCGTCCGCACACATGCCTTGGGCCATGATGCGTTAACCCCTCTCTTCCCTGAGATCCGACGTCGCGAACAAAGTGCAACACCGTGCAAAAATCACGCTGGGAGCCCTGGTCCCCATCTTTGTGCGGCATTTCTCAAGCCGGATCGATCTGTTCCGGCCCCAGGGGCCCGAATTTGGGGGAGAACGCCTGATGCGCAGAAGCTGCGACGCCATGATCGGGTCGGTGCGAAGTCTGCTACATGCAGCTGGTTCCAGCCCCGCCGTTTGGGAGCCTTCCTCGACACATTCGCGCCTCTGGCGCCGGAAGGCGCCGGGACGACCAGCTACGTGAGCTGATCCCTTTGCTACACCCGCTTTCGTCCGACCCGGCCCCCCGTCGCAGGCGGGTTCTCGCCCAGGGTCCCCGAATTCCCCCCTTCCGCACCAGAAGAACTGCTCGCTCAGAAGCGAGCCGGAGCTAGGAGATGCACCCCTGGGGAGTGAAAGGGTCGGCGGCGACGATACGGGCGAATACCCCAGGGAGCCTCGCCGAAGGCATGGGCAATCGGCGCCCCTGGGTACATGTATTGTAGTGGCCTCCGCCCTCGCCCGAAATGATGTTGCCGCCCGTCCATCCTTCCACTCCTTTCCCTTCTCCTCCTCCCTCCCTCGTCCTCCTTATCCTCCTCCCTCCTCCTCCCTCCCTACTTCCCCTCCTCCCTACTTCTCCTCCTCTTCTTCTCCTCCTCCTTTTCCTGCTCCTCCTCCTCCTCCTCCTCCTCCTCCCTCCTCCTCCTCCTTCCTCCTCCTCCTCCTCCTTCCTCCCTCCTCCTCCTCCTCCTCCCTTCCTCCTCCTCCTCCCCCTCCTCATCTTCCTCCTCCTCCTCTCCTCCTCCGTCTCCTCCTCTCCTCAGCCTCCTCCTTTCTCTTCTATCCTCATCCTCTCCTCCGCCTCCTCCTTTTCCTCCTCCTCCCTCCCCCCCCCTACGTCCTCTTCCTCCTCCTCCTCCTCCTCCTCCTCCTCCTCGTCCTCCTCTCTTCCTCCTCCTCCTTCTCCAATCCTCCTCCTCCCCTCCCCCTCCTCCTCCTCCTCTTCCTCCTCCTCCTCCTCCTTCTCCTCTTCCTCCTCCCTCCTCTCCTCTCCTCTTCCTCTTTCTTCTCCTTCCCTCTCCTCCTCCCTCCTCCTCCTCCTCCTCCTCTCCCTCCCCTCCCTTCTCCTTCTCTCCTCCTTTCCTCTCCTCTCCTCCGCATCCTTCTCCCCCTCCCTCCTTCTCCATCCTTCCCCTCCTCCTTCTCCTCGTCCTCCCTCCTCCTCCTCCTCGCTCCCTCCCTCCCTCCATCCCTCCTTCCTCCTCCGCTGCCCTCCTTCCCTTCCTCGCCCTCTCCTCCTCCTCCCCTTTCCTCTCCTCCTCCTCCTCCTCTCTCCTCCCCTCCTCTTCCGCCCTCCCTCCCTTGCCTCATCTTCCCATCCTCCTCCCTCCTCCCTCCTCCATCCTTCCCCTCCTCCTCCTCCTCCTCCCTCCTCCTCCTCCTCCTCTCATCCCATCCGTCTCCTTCTCCTCCTCCTCCTCCTTCTCCCTCCCTCCCTCCCTCCCTTCCCTTCCCTCCCTCCCTCCCTCCCTCCCTTCCTCTTTCTCCTCTTCCAAGCTCATCCAAGCTGCGGAAACGTGCGGCTCGAGATGAAGCGCGTCGCACAAGGATAAACATATCCAAGATGATGTTGGTGGTGGTGAGACGGAAGGATCGTCCTACCACGCGGTTGGTGGCTGGGTCTTTCCCCTCTTTGAGCAGCCCCAGGGTCACTGGTTTGCGGGTCCGCTATCAGGTGCCCATCGCCGATCTATCGGCGACTTATCGCCGATTCCAGATCGATCCCCCCCCCACACCCCCTGAGCCAGCCCCCCACCCTTTCGTGCGACCCGAGAAGGGGTGCCGCAGGAGGCGGGGCGAGGATGCTGAGACCGCCCTGGACTATTCTGGGGGCCTCTTGAGGCCAGCTGGAACTACCTCGGGTTTGGCATCGCTCAGACGTGTGAATTTCTTTTCGGCGAGGGCCATCCAGGAGCATCCTGGATATCCTGGCAACACAAAGCCCGCAGGAAACCAGCACATGCACGGGGAATGGACGTCCGACCGATGGCAAGCGGGGGACCAGCGCCCCCGGCGTGCCTCACCAGGAGGGCCGCCCATCCCTAGCGCTCCCCGGCGTGCCCAAGCGCTCCCAAGCGCTCCCAGGCGCTCCCAGGCGCTCCCAGGCGCTCCCAGTGTGCCCAGGCGCTCCCTGGGCGTTCCAAGCGGTCGCAAGCGTTTCCAGGGCGTCCCCAAGCGCTCCCAGGCGCTTTGAGACGCTCCCAAGCGCTTGCCCCCCCCACTCCCGCTCCCGCCCGACCCGGGGAAGGGTGAGCGACGCCGTGGAGCCCGACGCGGCCGTTGCCGCGGCGTACGACGCCGCGTTCGAGGCGTTCGTCGGGCGCGGCGGCGCGCTCTTCGGGCGCGCGGCGGCCGCGGCTTGAGCCCGTCGGGGCGCTCCGCTGCTGCCGCGGGGGGGGGGGAACGGTTAGGCTGTGGGCAGCAGGAGGTCGCAGGCGATTTCCCGCCTCCAGCCCAGCCTCTCCTCCTCGCCCTTCTCCTCCTGTCTCCGTCGCTGTCGGCATCGGGGTCCACGGGTGGACGCTGCCATCCCCCTCCTCCTGCTGCTGACGCTGGCGCTGATGGCATCGGCGGAGTTCGGTAGCGAACGCTATCTCCTTCTCCTCCTCCTCCTCCTCCTCCTCCTCCTTGTCTTGAGCATGCTATGGGGCGCGCTCGCCCGCAGCCTCTCCTTCATCCCTTGTCCTATGAAGATTGGCCAGCGTGGGCCCCAAACAGTGTGTTGCTAGCAGCGTATGTTGTGCAATCTATGTGGTGCAAAATACGTTCTGCACTATGTGGAGCAACGTATGTAATGCAATGCATTTGGTCCAACCACTGGCGCGCAACCGGTGATGAAGCAATAATGGTGTACAGAAAATGTGTTGCAATATGTGTTGCACAGTCTATGTGGTCCAGTATGTGTGGTGCTGCCGATGTGTTGCAATATACGCGGTGCAACGGTTGTTGAAGCGAGGTGCACTATACATATACATACATATACACACGTGCATATATATATATATATAGATATCAAGAAAGAGAGAGAGAGAGAGAGATACATGAAGGAACATAGAAGTACGTAGACAACTAATGCATCACATGATAGAGTGGCACAGAGGGATATATATAGAGAGAGAGAGAGAGAAACAAACAACTAACAAAACACATAAAGGGACAGAAGAGGGGGGAGAGAGAGAGAGAGAGCGAGACACAACAAACAGAAGAACGAGAGAGGGAGAGAGAGCGCGAGAGGGTCCGCTGCGAAGCTTCCTGGAGAGCAGAAAAGTGCAGCACGGACAACTGCTGCCAGGGCAGTGGCGCCCACTCGCGACGATTGCATGTTCCGATTCTGCGTTGCCCGCACCAGTGGATCCCTTTGAGTTTTGACACGCCCACATATGTTGATAACGGGGTGGTATGTAGAAATCGCAGCGTAAGCACCCGCTCCCCTCTCGTTGCCTTCCCCTTTTGAATTCTTGACGCGTTGTGTGTCCTCACCAGCCCATCCAGCAACGATGCCCAGGCGAGTTGCATTGATGATGGAATCGCTGGAGCACGCAGTAGAGGAGGGGAGTCATCACACCCAAGGTCGGGATCCGCCTGAGCGGGCCCAGGAGTTAACCGTACATGCCTTCGCAGATCTTTCGATATGGGGGCCTCTTGGCAGCTGACCTCGGCCATCATGGGGCCCTGTTGGACCGTTTTGGAGGCTTTGGAGGCTTTGCTGGGGCCATCTTGGGGCTCTCTTGGGGCCCTGTTCGGGGGGTCTGGGGTGCCTCTTGGGGCCATCTAGGAGACCATCGATCAAAGAACGGGGGTTCTCACTTACCGCTGCCCTTCTGGAGGCCCAGCGGTCGCGTCTCGGAGCGCTCCTGGGCGCTTTTCGGGCGATGTTGGGGCTATCTTGGGGCCGTCTGGCGCCCATCAAAAGCGAGAAGGCGAGAAAGCAATCAATATTGATTTCCGTTGGTTCTGAAGAAATCTAGGCCTCTTTGGGGGGCTCTGTGGCCACGTGAGGCCGTCATGGGGGCGTCTTAGGGCCTTTTGGAGGCATCGTGTGTGCAATCTAGAGCCGTCTTGGGGTAGATTGAGTCATCTGTGCGGCCACCTTGGGCGTTCTAAAACTATCTTGGAGCCATGATGGCCCGAAAAGCTCCCAAGAGATGCCTCCGACATGTTGGAATGTTTGAGAGCCATGTTTTCCCAACCATCGCGTTGTGCTGGGTCCTCGCTTTGAATCAGCAGCACCCCGCGTCCTCTCCCTGTCCTCCTCCCCCTCCTCACTCCTGCCTCTGCCCTGGCGTGCCCCTGCCACACTTTTTAAGCCTCATAGGAGCTCCACTGAAGGCCTACATGAAGACGCCCGCATGCAGTCTTGGGCTTATTTCGCTCGCCCGGCCACGCTTGTCAAGCCCCTTAGAAGCTCCACAGAAGGCCAATATTGGAAAGTCCGCATGCTCTCGTGGGTTCATGTCGCTCGCCCTTGCCACAGGAGGCCCAATTGAAGCAGTCCGCGGGCAGTCGCTGGCTCGCTCATGTCGCTCTCCCCTGCCACGCTTTTCAGGCCCTGTAGGAGCCCCACAGAAGGCGCACACGAAAAAGTCCGCATGCAGTCGTGGGCTCATTTCGCTGGCTCCTGCCTCGCGAATGAGTCCGCATTCAGTCGCGGGTTCGTTTCGTTCGTTAGCCCTTTGCACGTTTTTCATTCCCCGGAGGAGCCCCGCAGACGTCCCAAGTAAAAAAGTCCGATGCAGTCGTGGGTTAATTTCTCTCGCCTCTGCCATGCTTTTCAGCCCCCATAAAAGCTCCACGGAAGGCCAAAACTGAAACAAGTCCGCATGCAGTCGCAGGCTGAATTCGTTGGCCCATGCCACGCCGTTCAAGCACCATTGGAGCTCCAGAGATGGCCAATCTCAAACGGTTTGTATGCAATCGTGGGTGAGCTCATCATTGCGCTGTCCTTGACCACGCTCATGTCGCTGGCCCCGGACATGTCTTTTCGTTTCCATAGGCCCATTTCTACGGGAACAAAGAGTGACATAAACATGACTCCGACGGAAAGACCCCGCATGAGAATCTGTTCCGCTTGCCCTTAGCCCTTTCCTCACCGCCATGGCAGACACCCTCCTTTCGCCCTCTGCTATGCCCTCTCCTCTTCCTCCTCCTCCTCCTCCTCCTCCTTCTATTTCTTCTCCTCCTCCTTCTATTTATCCTCCTCCTCCTTCTCCACCTCCTCATCATCGTCGCCCTCTCCCAATCCCTTCACCGTCGTCATCCTTCCCCTGCTTCTTCTCCATGTGCTCCCCCCTTCCCCCTGGTCGGGGCAAGCGGGCCCCTTAGGGAGGGGGCTGCCGCCTGAGACGTCTTCGCAAATCACTCACAGACGAGGCTCCCGCCTGATACTTCCTCCGTATTCAGGCCTGTGGAGCCCAACAGTGACGGCAGTCACAGCAGTCCGATGGCCCGCCTGGGATTCGAACATGAAGTGCGGGCCCCTTAGGGAGGGGGCTCCCGCCTGAGACTTCCTCACACTTCGCTCACAGACGAGGCTCCCGCCTGATACTTCCTCCATATTCTTGCCCGAGGAGCCCAACAGTGACGACAGTTACAGGATGCCGATGACCCGCCTCGGTTCGAACATGAAGTGCGGGCCCCTTGAGGAGGGAGCTCCCGCCTGAGACTTCCTCACAAGTCACTCACAGACGAGGTTCACGCCTGATACTTCTTCCATATTCAGGCCTGAGGAGCCCAAAAGAAACGACAGTTACAGGATGCCGATGACACGCCTCGGATTCAAACATGAAGTGCGGGCTCCTGAGGGAGTGGGCTCCCGCCTGAGACTTCCTCGCAATTCACTCACAGGCGAGGCTCCCGCCTGAGACATCCTTCATATTCAGACCTGGGGAGCCCAAAAGTGACGACGGTACAGGATTCCGATGACCCGCCTCGGATTCGAACATGAAATGTGGGCGCCTTAGGGAGGGGGCTCCCGCCTGAGACTTCCTCACACTTCACTAACAGACGAGGCTCCCGCGTGATACTTCCTCCATATTCAGGCCTGAGGAGCCCAGAAGTGATGACAGTTACAGGATTCCGATGGCCCGCCTCGGATTCGAACATGAAGTGCAGGCGCCTTAGGGAGGGGGCTCCCGCCTGAGACTTCCTCACACATCGCTCACAGACGAGGCTCCCGCCTGATACTTCCTCCATATTCTTGCCTGAGTAGCCCAAAAGTGACGACAGTAACAGGATGCCGATGGCCCGCCTCAGATTCAAACATGAAGTGCGGGCCCCTTAGGGAGGGGGCTCCCGCCTGAGACTTCCTCACACGTCAATCACAGATCAGGCTCCCGCCTGATACTTCCTCCATATTATTTCCTGAGTAGCCCAACAGTGACGACAGTTACAGGATGCCGATGGCCCGCCTCGGATTCAAACATGAAGTGCGGGCCCCTTAGGGAGGGGGCTCCCGCCTGAGACTTCCGCGCGATTCACTCACAGTCAAGGCTCCCGCCTGAGACATCCTCCATATTCAGGCCTGAGGAGCCCACAAGTGACGACACTTACAGGATGCCGATGGCCCGCCTCGGATTCGAACATGAATTGCGGGCCCTTTAGGGAGCTCCAGCCTGAGAATTCCTCACAAGTCACTCACAGACGAGGCCCCCGCCTGATACTTCTTCCATATTCAGGCCTGAGGAGCCCAAAAGTGACGACATTTGCAGGATGCCGATGACCCGCCTCGGATTCGAACATGAAGTGCGGACCCCATAGGGAGGCTCCTGCCTGAGACTTCCTCGCAATTCACAAACGAAACTCCCGCCTGAGACATCCTCCATTGTCATGCCAGGGGGTGAGTGGTGACGAAATCATGAGTGAGTGAATGATGATGGTGAGTGAATGAATGAGTGAGTGAGTGAGTGATGATGATTATGGTGACGATGAGAAATGAGTGTGTGAGTGTGTGATTGAGTGAGTGCGAGTGTAAGAGTGTGTGATTGATGAAAAAGAATAAGATGATGATGACGATGATGACGATGATGATGCTGCTGCTGCTGCTGCTGCTGATGATGATGATGATGATGATGATGATGATGATGATGATGATGATGATGATGATGACGATGACGATGACTATGAGTGAGTGAAGGAGTGAGTGAGGGTGAGTGATGGCGAAGGAGAGAGGGGATGAGGGAGGACTGCGCGGGGTGTCCAGAGAAAACAAGAACCCCACTTAGGGCGTGGGGGAGAACAATTCGGAGGTCCGCGCGGATTTCTCGGATCCGCGCTGGGGCCCCCTGGCAGCGCTTCGGGCGCCGCCGTTGGCGCGCTCCGCGCGCCAGGGAGGGGGGTCCTCCGCGGATCCGAGAAATCCGCGCGGACCTTAGAGCTTTTATGTTTATGCCACTTTTTGTCACCCTGATTTCGAACGCCCCTGCCACGTTTTCAAAGCCTGTCCTGTGGCACCCACACGTGCGTATTGTCGGGGTCGCTGCGTGGCTCCGCGGTGGCGGCGGTGCCACGCGTCGTGGCCCCCGAGGGATCTCCCCCTCCTTCGGCCCACCCGCCTTGCAGTACGTACTCACATCTGCATATACCTGGGTTCCTTCGCCCGGCTAATAGTATATGATGTTGTCTTTGCGCGAGGGGGGGGCGGCTAATTAGGGCTCCCTCTTCCAACAGGTGGGAGTGCAGCGTTCGATGTTTTTGTTGCGCGTCGTGTTCTGCAAATGGTGTGTTTGAGCCGAGCGAAGGCGATGGTTGCCATCGAGCACCCTGTTTGGAGCTCGACGACACCGCGAGGGCCTGGCGGGCTGGGGAGCCGCGTGCTCCTGAGCAGGGCGCTGGGCTCCCCGCTCTTAGGGAGTTGATCCCCCGGTATGGCCGAGGGTGTGGCGTTCGCTTGGGCCTCCCTCGAGCACGAACGGACTCTGGAGCGATGTCTGGAGGGCTGCTGCAGTTTCCAGCGGCTTCCGCGGTGTCCGTCACATGCCCGCTGCTTTTCTTCATGCACTGGGTGCACAGACCTTGGTCTGGCTTGACGCATCCTCACCCAGGTGCTGACATCAGCTCAGGTTTCGGCAGCTCTGTGCTCGGTTTCCGGACTCCCCCGCGGTTCCATTTGATTCCTGTTTCGCTTCGTCCCAGAATTTATATCAAATCATCTTCAGTATCTCGCAGACATCAGAGTCCGCGAAAGTTGCGCTACGTGCTTGGATGGATTCGGCAAGATGCTTCAGTGCTCTGTCCGTCGCCATCTGAGCTCAAGCCATTCTTCCTGGCTCAAAGGTTCGTCTGTCTTACATCGTCGCAGGCTCATTTGCTATTGAACCATGTTGCTGGCCATCTGGATGTCGATGGCATCCGCTGAAGCATTGTTCATTCATTCGCATGTCCACCCCCCACACCCCCCCCCCGACACAAGGCCACGTGCCGAGGTTGAAAGCAGGTCTTTGGAAGATGCAGCTTTCAATGATCCGTGGACTCATGATAACCGCAGGACGGCTCTTGATGACTCAATGATTTATCGGATCAAATCTCGGGCTGAAGAGTCCGCTATAAGAGCAGGTTCTTCAAATCCTTTACCTCGCCTCACACCTTTGAGCGATGCTCACTTTAACGTCCCCTTCTTCGTGTACGACGAAGTTGATTGGATGTCCACAAAGTGCGACGGTATCACCATTTCCGGTCAAGAGAACGATTATCATAAACACAGCGATGATTTCTGGTTTTTGAAAGCTGCTTTGAACCATGGGATGCGAACGAAGGATCCTAAGAAAGCAAGGTTGTTTGTGGTTCCGGCATTGTTGAATCTTGCAGTGGAACAATCGGTTTGGAGTCGCAGGCAGTGTTGCGTTGGGGGATTGTGTAATTTGGATTTCTTCCAACACGCAAACGACATGCTCAATGAGTCTATCTGGTTTAAACGGAATAAGGGGAAGGACCACGTGGTCGTGTGCTCACATTATGCTTGCCTCAATCACCTTGTTCTGTTTGAGAACCTCGTGAAATGTAATTCTATTTCGTTCGAGGAGAATAGCATGCGGCAGGAACGCTGCCGAATAGCAGGCACATACGTTGGTCAGAGATGCGAGCACATGCCAAAACAAACAATGTTTACTTTGATCGCGTCCATGCATCGACGGCGACCTAACTTTCAATCAAGGAGAGATATATGCAAATGGTTCCCGCATCTTGTTTCAGTGAATCAAACCTACAACGTCTCAATCTGCGGCGCTGGAAGGCAGTGCCCATCCTTGGCGCAAGCTCGATTTAGCCCCCACGTTCGTGGCGACACTTGGGGATCCAGCCGCTTAATTGACATCGTGCTCAGCGGCGCAGTGCCGATGTTCACCAACACAATACAATATCAAATCCTGCCTCCATTTGTACCTTGGGAAAGCATCTCCACGCAAATCGATGTTTCCGACAAGCAGAGATTCGAATTATCAGTACAGGACAGCGTGCCGCTTTATGATGGATTGAAACAAAAAGTTGACAAACATGCACATCACCTTGATTGGGAGACGCCCGCTCCTTTTGAGCAGTACATGTGGCTTTTTCAGCAGTGCATTCGATGATTTTGTCGGATCGCCAGTCAACAACGAATGTTTGATCCGTTGTTTTGACACGGCGCTTCTTCCGAGCAAGTGCGTGCGTACGTAAGTGTGTAAACATATACATATAACGGGGGGTCCGGGGGCCGGGGGCTGGCGCCACGACCACAAATGTGGGGCCCGGGCGTCATTTGCCTTGTGTTTTTGTAGGGTTTCGGCGACCCCGGGCCAACAGGGCCCCAAGAGGCTGCAGGGAGGCTCCAGGAGGCCGCAGCGATGGCCCCAGACGCCTTTCAAGACGACTCCCATGACGCCAAGAAGGCTCCCGAAGGCCCCGAAGACGCCCCGAGAGGCGCTCCGAGAGAGGCCCAATAAGCAAGACTCGTTGATTTCCTATGGGGAAACTGCTATTTTTGGCGTGTTTGCCTTTCGGGCGTCCAAGACGGCCCAAGAGGCACCCAAGCCGGTCGAGGATGCCCCCAAGAGGGCCCCAAGACGGCCCACGAGGGGGCCAAAAGGGCCCACGAGGCGCCCAAACCGCCCAAGAACGCCCCAAGGCGGCGCCCAAGACGGGGACGAGGAACCGGAAATTCTGGCTTTTGGGCCGAAGAGACCCCGAGGAGACCCCAAGAGGCGCCAAGAAGGGGCCCAGAAGCCCCAAGAGGCCCCCCTGAGACCAGAAAAAAACACCAAAAACGGTTTCGAAGACGCCCCAAGAGGCACCCCGAGAGTGGCCCAATAAGCAAAAATCGTAGATTTTCTATGGGACATATACATATAACGGGGGACGGGGTCCGGGGGCCGGGGGCTGGCGCCACGACCACAAATGTGGGGCCCGGGCGTCATTTGCCTTGTGTTTTTTTATAGGGTTTCGGCGACCCCGGGCCAACAGGGCCCCAAGAGGCTGCAGGGAGGCTCCAGGAGGCCGCAGCGATGGCTCCAGACACCTTTCAAGACGACTGCCATGACGCCAAGAAGGCCCCCGAAGGCCCCGCAGACGCCTCGAGAGGCCCCCCGAGAGAGGCCCAATAAGCAAGACTTGTTGATTTCTTATGGGGGAACTGTTATTTTTGGCGTGTTTGCCTTTCGGGCGTCCACTGCGTCCAAGACGGCCCAAGAGGCACCCAAGCCGGTCGAGGATGCCCCCAAGAGGGCCCCAAAACGGCCCACGAGGGGCCAAGAGGGCCCACGAGGCGCCCAAACCGCCCAAGAACGCCCCAAGGCGGCGCCCAAGACGGGGACGAGGAACCGGAAATTCAGGCCTTTGGACCCAAGAGACCCCGAGGAGACCCCAAGAGGCTACAAGAAGGGGCCCGGAAGCCCCAAGAGGCCCCCCTGAGACTTGAAAAAAAACACATTCTGCGGCCGAGGAACCCCACATACTTTATTTAAATATTATGCGCTTGCGTGCGTGAGGGACCAACTCCTGCGCACTCTTCATGGTGTCGAGAAAGTGTCACGCGTTCTATGCCTTGGACGATCGTCGTGCATAGCAGCCGCGGTGAGGGACCACCCCCTGCGCACCCCCTATGGTGTCGAGAAAATGCCACGCCTGCTATGCCCTGGGCGACCGTCGTGCATAGCGGCCTCGGTGAGGGACCCCCCCCTGCGCACCCCCTATGGTGTCGAGGCAGTGCCACGCCTGCCACGCCCTGCGAGCCCGCAACGGGTAGGGAGACCACCCCCAGCGCACCCCCTGTGGTGTCGAGGGGGAAGTGCCACGCTTGCCACGCTTTGCGAGCCCGCAACGGATAGGGAAACCACCCCCAGCGCACCCCCTGTGGTGTCGAGGAAGTGCCACGCCTGCCACGCTTTGCGAGGCCGCGACGGGCAGGGAGACCACCCCCAGCGCACCCCCTGTGGTGTCGAGAAAGTGCCACGCCTGCCACGCTTTGCGAGGCCGCAACGGGTAGGGAGACCCCCCCCCCTGCGCACCTCCTGTGGTGTCGAGGAAGTGCCACGCCTGCCACGCTTTGCGAGCCCGCAACGGATAGGGAGACCACCCCCAGCGCACCCCCTTATGGTGCCGAGGAAGTGCGACGCCTGCCACGCTTTGCGAGCCCGCAACGGATAAGGAGACCACCCCCGGCGCACCCCTTGTGGTGTCGAGGAAGGGCCACGCCTGCCACGCTTTGCGAGGCCTCAACGGATAGGGAGACCACCCCCAGCGCACCCCCTATGGTGTCGAGAAAATGCCACGCCTGCCACGCTTTGCGAGGCCTCAGCGGATAGGGAGACCACCCCCTGCGCACCCCTTTATGGTGTCGAGAAAGTACCACACCTGCCACGCTTTGCAAGGCCGCAGCGGGTATGGAGACCACCCCCAGCGCACCCCCTGTGGTGTCGAGGAAGTGCCACGCCTGCCACGCTTTGCGAGGCCTCAACGGACAGGGGGACCACCCCCAGCGCACCCCCTGTGGTGTCGAGGAAGTGCCACGCCTGCCACGCTTTGCGAGGCCGCAACGGGTAAGAGGACCCCCCCCTGCGCACCTCCTGTGGTGCCGAGGAAGTGCCACGCCTGCCACGCTTTGCGAGCCCGCAACGGATAGGGAGACCACCCCCAGCGCACCCCCTATGGTGTCGAGGAGCCCCAGGAGGGCTCCAAGACGGCCCGAGAGACCCCCAGGAGGGCTCCAAGACGGCCCAAGAGGGCACCAAGACGGCCTAAGAGGCCCCGGGGACGGCCCAAGAGGGCCTCAGGACGGCCCCCAGAGTGGGCCCAGAGGAGGAACCTGAACGTACATTGCGAGCTTTTGGTTCCAAGAGGTTCCCAGGAGGCCCCCAAGAGGCCGCCAGGAGGTTCCCAAGAGGTCGCCAGGGGGCCCTAAGAGCCCCCAGAAGGGCCCCAAGAGGTCCTGAAGAAGCCACCCAAGAGGCCCCCAAGAGGCCCCTGAACTGCCCCTGCAGAGGCCCCCGAGATCCTTCCGAAGAGGCGGGATAGGCCCAAGGCTATTTGATAGCTAGCATGCGCGCGGCGTCAGGACTTTCGATGCTGCGCGCCACTTCGACAAGCTCCTAGGGAGCGGCCGGTGATGCGCCGCCGGCGTCCTCGATCTGCTCCAAGGTGACCTGAGTCGCTCCCCCGGCCGCGAAAAGCGGTCAAGGGGGAGTGACCGGGATGGGCGTGAGAGGTTGAACCTTCCACTCCCTCTTCCTTCCTCATCTTCTCCAGGGTGACCCGAGTCGCTCCCCTGGCCGCGAAAAGCGGTCAAGGGGGAGTGACCGGGGCGGGCGTGAGAGGTCAAACCCTCCAATCCCTCTTCCTCCCTCATCTTGTCCAGGGTGACCCGAGTCGCTCCCCCGGCCGCGAAAAGCGGTTAAGGGTGAGTGACCGGGGCGGGCGTGAAAGGTTGAACCCTCCAATCCATTTTCCTTCCTCATCTTCTGCTGGGTGACCCGAGTCGCTTCCCTGGCCGCGAAAAACGGTGTGTGTATGTATATATATATAAACATAAATACATACATATATATATATACACATATATATATATATATATATATATATATGTATACACCGGGGAACGGGACCTGACGCCGCCAGATTGGGACCTCGGACCCCCATGGGGGCCACGTGGCTCCAGGACGCTCCCGGGGGCCCGAACCTCGACCACAAATGTGGAGCCCGGGGCCCGGGCCGCCTCTGAGAGGGCTGAAATCGCCGTCGGAAGCCCTCAGACAGCCGCCCTGGCAGCCCTGGACGTTTTCGACAAGTTCCCAAGACGCTTCAAGATGCCGCCCTAGAGCGGCCCGAGAGGCCAAAATCGTTGATTTTAAGTTGTTTTTCAATGTTTTTGGCTTTCTTATCCCTGGGGGCGAGGCCGGGGGCCCCAGGACAGGTGCCTCGACCCCCCATGGCGGGACGGGGGGGGCCTTGAGCCTCCCTGGAGCAGCCCAGGCGGCCCAAGAGTGCCCCAAGAGCGCTCCACGACAGGCCCAGCAGGCTCCAACCAAGAGGGCCCCAAGATGGCCAAGATAAGCCCAAGACGGCCACAGATACCCCCAAGACGCTCCAAGAGGCCTCCAAGAGGCCCCCCCCAGAGGGCCCCGAGAGGCCAACATCGCTCATTTTACGAAGGTTTTGGATACATTTTGCCTTCCCCGCCTGTTCAGCTTTCCGACGCTCCAAGACGGCTCAAAGGCCCCCCGCGGACGCCCCAAGACAGCCCAAGAGGCCTCCAAGAGGGCCTCAAGACGGCTCTGGAGAGCCCCAAGACGGCCTAAGACGCGCCTGAGACGGGCGAAGAGAGGCCCAAGACGGCCCCAAGAGGGCCCCGGGAACCGCGAACCGGAAATTCGAGCCTCCCGCCTCCACAGGGCCCCAGGAGGCCCCAAAGGGGCCCCAAGAGGCCCCAGGAGACCCCCAAGACGGCCCAAAAGAGCTTCTGGACGGCCCAAGAGGCGCCCAAGACGGCCCACACAGGCCCCCAAAGGCGCCCAAGAGAAGCCCAAGATTGTGAAATCCAACCAACAATTCGAGCTTTCCACTAAACGAGGCGCCTGGGAGGCCCCGAGAGGCCCCGAAGAAGCCCCAAGAGGCCTCCAAGAGGCCACCCAGACGCCGCAAGAAGGCCCCACGAGGACCCCCGAGAGAGCCCTGAGAGCCAAAAGCTATTTATTTTCCGTAAGTGTTCGAAGGATTTCGGTCATCTCGCCTTCTCGGGTTCCCGACGCTCGAAAACACCCCAAGAGGCCCCCATGATCGCCCCAAGAGGACGCCAGAACTACCCAAGAGGGCCCGAAAACGGCCTAGGAGGCACCCAGCACGCCTGGGAGGACCCCAAAACGGCCCCACGAGGGACTCCAGAACGGAAGCCCGAACCGACCATTCGAGCTTTCTGCCCCAAGAAGCCCCGACGAAACCGGAAGACGCCCACAAGAGGCCACAAGAAGGCTCCAAGAGGACTCCCAACAGAGCCCCGAGAGCCCAAATTCGTTGATTTTCTACATGTTTTTTGAAGGACTTCGCCCTTCTCGCCTTGTCGGCTTTCCCAATCTCCATGCCGGCTCGAGGGGTCACCAAGACCGCCCCGAAACAGCCCGAGAAGCCCCCAAGAGAACCCCAGTACGGCCGCCCAAGACGGCCCAGGAGGGCCCCAACACGGCCCCAACACGGCCCCAATATGGGGGCAGGCCCGGG